CACACACACACACACACACACACACACACACACACACACACACACACTTTCCTTAACCCATACCATTCATTTCTATCCGTTCAAAGAATATGGATATACCACAGAAAACAAATAAGAAATATTTAGTATGGCATATTCTTATTTATTTTCTGTGTTTTTGTGCGATGATGTATGTAGGATGGATTGTGGATATTCTATCTGGCTGTTCCTCCCCAAAACATGGGAGCACAAAACTGTATAATAATTTGGTAGTGAAATTTCTAGTTTCCCTAGCATTCTTGCTCTGAAAATACAATGAACAAATGTTGCTCAACATGGTGGAAGCCTCCTGGATAAAAGGTTTGTTTCCCAGACCTTTCCTTACAAACCACACCCATTTTTCAAAGTGTCACTGCTCTTAGCTGTTATACCTCCAGAAACATTTCTCATCCCTTGAAACCAAGCTACAATTTCAACATATTTCCCTCCGTTCCTCCTATCCAGACATGTTCTTCTGTTAAAAACCCTTTTGTCAAAATTAGATTGATCCGATCTGGAGGCAGGGCAATTTCCCTTACTTCTTCTCCCAGTCACATTCCCAACCTAACAGTCCCGATCCAGGCCAAACTTCCTCTTACTCAGCATGCAACACTGCAACCCACAAGTAAGTTTTGAACACCATTATCCACACCCCCAAATGGGGCAAAGCATTTATTTGTTTATTTATTTCAGATCGCCTCTCATTTATTCCAGATCACTGCAAGGACACCCTATTTTCACCGGTTCAGACACAACCCTTTCCCCAAACTTTTCACAGCTCGAAGACACTCAAAGCAAACCTTCACAACTCCCAAAGTGAACGCGTGTAAGGGAAGGAATTCCAAATTCCCAGCTTTTCTCTTTTTGGGCTCTCCTGTCATCCCTTCTCCTCCACTCTCGCTCATCTTTTATCACCCCCCGTCTAAAATAATCTCGTGCCCGTCCAGTGCTTTGGGATCGGACTCCCATCTTCCTCCCCAGCTGGGGCCGATGGGAGTTGGAGTCCCCACTCTGGGAGAAACCGCTGTCCCGCAGTCCCCATTCCGACATGCGTGATGATCCCCCCAACGGGTTGCCCCCCATCCTCCCCCGGGGGAGGAATCCCCCCTTCCCAAGACGGGTCGACCTGTGGAGGCCCACACCCGCTCCGAAACTCACCCTGCCGGCCCACGATCTCGGCCACATGCTCGGAGCTGGGCACCGGGACGCACTCGGTCGTGTTGACGCTCTTCCTTCGCAGCAGCGCCGCCTGCTCGNTGGACTAATTGGAGTCTTCGAACACTCTTCAAGGGCAGCCCCATGTAGAGCGCATTACAATAATCCAGTCTTGAGGTCACAAGGTTGACCACAACCTTGTGGCAGTTGGCAGTTCAGCGGTTCGAATCCCTACCGCCGTGTAACAGAGTGAACTCCCGTTATTTGTCTCAGCTTCTGCCAACCTAGCAGTTCAAAAACACGTAAAAATGCAAGTAGAAAAATAGGAACCACCTTTGGTGGGAAGGTAACAGCGTTCCGTGCGCCTTCGATGCTTAGTCATGCCGGCCACATGACCACAAAGAGATCTTTGGACAGCGCTGGCTCTTCAGCGTTGAAACGGAGGTGAGCACCTCCCCCTAGAGTCGGGAACGACTAGCACATATGTGCGAGGGGAACCTTTACCGTAATGTCTTACCTTGGTTCAGACTGGTTGCCTCTGTGGGGAAAATATGGACTCCATGCTCCTTAGGGTCATGCCAACCTTGCAAATGCTTCTTGTTTTCATTGCTCATTGCTGTGTCCCAACAGCTGCATAAATCAAACCCCAATATGTGAATGCCATGGATAATGGGATCCAGGACAAAAACTATTAATGCAGATATCTTGGAAAATAAGTTCTCCATCATTTTTAAGGGGCTGCCGCATAAAGATGTGTTACAGAAGGGGCAATACAGATGCAAAAAGAAATCTAATTACCTTCTACAAACACAGGCATCTCGATTTTGCTGTGTGTTTCATGACATTATAAAACATCAGCACGAGGGAATTTATTTCACTTGGATTTTAGGGCTGGTTTGAGTATGAGAGTATCTTGCTTTACTGGCATTTTTGGGAAAGGTGCTTTTTTAAAAGAAAAGGCTTTACTGGAAAATAGGACATTTGGTGGCTCACGTTTTATATGCACAATTCAAGGATCTCAGCAGATAGATAATTGCCTTTTGAAATGACATTGGTGCCCAAAGGCATTGATGCTACATCTTGTGCTGTACAGTATATCAGAGGTAGGAGCTAAAAGGTGATTGGACGACTTGCATTACTACCTTTTCCATATAAACTACTGACCTGCAACAGCTGCATCAGCTGGAAAAACATATTTGAAGCATGAACCTCAGAGAAATAATAGTCTTGGCTTCATCATTAGATTAAAGTTTACAGCACTTACAGGAAAAGTTATGAAGTGTGCTTTATTATCTGGATAGAATCAGAAGGGAAATTTTCCAGGAAAACTGACCTCTTGATACACATCTGAAATTAAATGGTTAACTAGACATAACCAATTAACAAGCATATAATGAATTGCCTCACAGCGGCATAAACTACTTCTGACTCAATTTTTTTCTTTTCTTTCCACCTCTCAGCCTCATCTCCAAATTTCCTGATTATGAGAAGAATTCTGTCTTTTTCTATGATTTATGAAATAAGCTTGGTTTTTTTTAAATTGCTGTATTCCAATGGGGAACAACAATAGAGTTGGTGTCTCCTAGAGGCGGTGGATTGTGTTTGTCGGCCCTTGGGTGCTTCAGGGTTCAATGCTCTCTTCTGCTTACTGTCTACATCAGGAGTGTCAAACTCGTGTCATATCATCATGTGATGTAGCACAACTCCCCCCCCCATTTGCTAAACCAGGGATGGGTGTGGCCACCGTGTGACACATCCGGCCCGTGGGCCATGAATTTGACACCCCTGGTCCAGAGGTGGGTTCCTACCGGTTTGGCCGAATAGGTAGTAACTCGGCCTGTCCTAGTTCTATTGGTGCCGCCATAGGTGCCGCCATCTTGTTTTTTGCTTCTGCGCATGTGCAGAAACATTTTTAAAGTACTGCGCATGCGTGTGCGCAAAGTGCATCCCTGAATAAACTGGCAATAGCAGCAGCCAGAAACTACCCCTGCCCTGATCTACATGGACCCACTGGATGAGGCCATCTGTTGATTCTGGTTCAGCCTTATCAGTACCCTGATGATACGCAACTCCACATAGCTACCCTTGTTTAGGTGAAGCTTTTGATGTACTGACCCAGTGGATTGAGGCTGTTTGGATGTGGATTGGGAGCAGTGGTGGGTTTCAAAAATTGTTCGAACCTACTCTGTGGGTGTGGCCTCCTTTGTGGGAGTGGTTTGCCACCCATGTGACTGGATGGGAGTGGCTTGCCGCCCATGTGACCGGATATAAAGATGCCAACGACACTTGTCAGAACCACCTTAAATTACCTCACACACAGCACTGGCANTAGTACTTAGGTCGGTCCAAGTAGCTATTCAGAAACTCTGGCATTGAAGCATGCAAGTCTTAAAGCTGTCAAGTTACAAGATCCTTGCCAGTGGTTGGTTTCAAAAAATTTTGGAACCTCTTCTGTAGGTGTGGCCTGCTTTCCGGGTCCACTGGTGGAACCTCTTCTAACCTGACGAACCGGTTCTACCGAATAGGTGCGAACTGGTAGGAACCCACCTCTGATTCCCACCCCACTCCAGGGAAGGATAATGCAAAATCCCCATTTCCTCCCGATCAGCTGGGACTTGGGAGGCAGAGAATAGATGGGGCGGGGCCAGCCAGAGGTGGCATTTGCTGGTTCTCTGAACTCTTCAAAATTTCTGTTACCGGTTCTCCAAAACCTGACAGAACCTGCTGGATTTCACCCCTGGGTGAGGTCCACAGTAAGTCTAAGGTTAAAGTTATGGGGGTTTGGGGGGATGAAACCACAGAGTCAGGCAGTGCATTCCAGGCACTGACCACTCCGTTGCTGAAGTCGTATTTTCTGCAACCGAGTTTGGAGCCGTTTACCTCCTGATCCTTAGGAGTTCCTTCAACCCATCTGCCAACTGGGAATGATGGTTTCCAGGCCTAGAGCAGCTGGATTGGCGATGGGAGAGAAATCACTTGCTGCTTCTTTCTGCCAGGGCTACTGGAATACTACTACCTGAGGAGTGTGTGGGTGTGTGCCTGTGTGTACAGGTAGTCCTTGACTTACAACTGTTCATTTAGTCACCGTTCAACGATACACCGACACTGAAAAATGTGACTTATGACCACCTTTCACAGTTATGACCTTTGCAGTGTTCCAGTAATCGTGATCAAAATTCAGATGCTTGGCAACTGGTTCGTATTTATGACGGTTGCTGTGCCCTGAGGTCATGTGGTGATCCCTTTGTGTGACCTTCTGACAAGCAAAGTCAATGGGGAATCCAGATTCACTTAACAGCTGGTTTACTAACTTATCAACTGCAGGGATTCACTTAACAACTGTGGCAATAAAGGTCGCAATGCCTCACTTAACCACAGAAATTGTGGGCTGAATTTTGATCATAATTTGAGGACTACCTATATGTGTTTGTGTGTGTAAGTCAGATAGCAGTGAAATCTATACAAGTTACAGTACTGTCCAGACCTGAACAGGGTTTGGGTTATCAGAGAGCAGTTACTTCAGTCATTCTTTAGGTTGGTAATATCTGCGGAACCTTCTCCTATTTTCAACTTGATCTAGGAAAGAGTTTGAGCTTTCCTCTTCTCTAAGGTAGACTCAGAGGCAATTAACCAGGCATCTTTCCAATATAGAGCTCTTCCCAGATTGTTAACTCCAGTGTTAGAACATAGAATAATAGGGTTGGAAAGGGACCTTGGAAATTTTCTAGTCCAACCCCCTGTTCAAGGCAGGAGTCCATATATCATCCTGGACAAATTGTCCAATATTTTCTTGCAAACCTCCATTGAACATCCACAATTCCAGGAGGGGCAAGCTATTCCACTGATTAATTGTACTGACTCTCAGGAAATTCTTCCTTATATTTCCAGGTTGAGTCTTCCTCTGACAAGCTTCCATTGCTTCTTGTCCTTCCCTCAAGTGCTATGGAGAGTAAATCGATGCCTCTTCCTTATGGCAGCCCTTCAAGTATTGAAGTCAGCTATCTGGTCTCCCCTAAGCCCCCTCTTTGTTAGGCTAAAGATACCGTATTTTTCAGAGTATAAGACGCTGTGGACTATAAGTTGCACATTCGTTTTTGAGAAGGAAAAAAAGAAAATAAAATATTCTGCCTCTGCCTACCAGCATCCATCACTATTCATCTGGCTAGCGTCCTTGCAGCAAACAGCCTGGACAGCTTCAGCATGTTATTGCAGCCTGATTCAGCACAAGGAGCTGATTGGCGGTTGGATAGGCCTCCCAGAATACCGCCAATCAGCTGTTCCAGGCTGCGGAGATCGCCACAGCCCAACACCACCTCTATGTGTCACATTTTTGGCTTCCACGCATTGTGTTTTTGGCCTCCAGCATCACATTTTCGGCCTACACACACTCCATTTTAGGCCTGTCACAGACTGCGGGGATTACCACAGCATATCACCGCTAATCGCCACCTCCATGTGTTGCACTTTTGGCCTCTGTGTATTGGGTTTTCAGCCTCTGGACATCCCTTTTTTGGCCTCTGCGTGTCGTGTTCGGCCCATTCCAGGTGGCGGGGGAAAAGTGTGTCTTACACTCTGAAAAATACGGTACCTAGTTTCCTTAACCCTTCATCATACAATTTAGCCTCCAAATCCTTGATTACCTTAGTTGCTCTTCTCTGCACTGTTTCTATGTCCGCAGCATGTTTTCTTTTTTCTTTTAATGTATCGTATCAACTGAAATCAAGAGATAATTTGTTTGTATCTGTTTAAATAAGCTACATGTCTCACTGTGTTGTGAGCTTCTAAATAAGAGAAGTGGGGAATAAAATCATTTATCTTATAGCCAATGTTATTTCGTTAAAATCTAGCCATATATAGTATCTGGTCGTCTTGCTTCTTTTAATAGGAAAAGATGCAGGTGCTTTAAAGAGTTTAGGTGCTTTAAATTTAGGCAGACAGCCTAAATTGACACTGATTCATTCTAGGGTGTATTTTTCTGAAATCTTCTCTTAAATTTTGCCCAACGTTTCTAGTTCCTTGTGGCTCTGTAACAACCCCTATTCTTTGCAGTGATTTAAACTGATGGTTAGACCATGGTTTCAACCATCTTGCAAAAGTTGCTCGGTT